ATTAATCTGGATGGCACTAAAAAAGGGTCAAGGCAAATTCAAGCAAGATGAAGCTAGCAATGGCTACCAGTCCTGATGACTGTGTGCTGTCTCCAGAATTAGAGGCAGTGTGCCTGTGTATTCCAGCTGCTGGGGAACTTGGGCAGTGGGTGTGCTGTTGTACTCATATCCTGCTTGCCAAGAACATGAGTGTGCCCAGTATGCTGCTGGCCACATGGTGAACAGAATGGTGGGCTAGATGGGCCCTTGGTCTGCACTTACATCGCTCTTACATTCTTTAAAGGTTAAAGGTTTCCCCTTGATGCTAAGTCCATAGCATGGACTCTAGGGGGCGGTGCTCATCTCCGTTCCCTAGCCAAGGGAGCCAGCGTTTGTCCGCAGACAGTCTCCGTGGTCATGTGGCCGGCATGACTAAACACCAAAGGCACGGAACGCTGTTACCTGCCCACCAATGTGGGACCTTTTTATCTACTTGCATTTGCATGCTTTCGAACTGCAAGGTTGGCAGGAGCTGGGATGGCGCAACGGGAACTCACCCCGTTGTGCAGACTTGAACCGGCAACCTTTCAATCAACCAGCCCAGCAGCACAGCAGTTTAAACCACTGCACCACCTGCATTCTTACAGGACCAACATTTCTAAGGAAAAACATGCATCTATTTACTGTTACATCATTTTATCATGTGCAAGTATAGTTTAATATATGTAAAAGGTTATTGGAGGAGATGAACCCTGACTGCTCTTTAGAAGACCAGATACTGAAGAGGAAACTCAAATCCTTTGGCCACCTAATGAGAAGGAAGGACTCCCTGGAGAAGAGCCTGATGCTGGGAACAATAGACGGCAAAAGAAGAAGGGGACGGCAGAGGATGAGGTGGCTGGATGGAGTCACTGAGGCAGTGGGTGTGAGCTTAAGGGGATGGTGGAGGACAGCAAGGCCTGGAGGAATGTTGTCCTTGGGGTCCACAACAACCATTTTGTGACCCTGTCCTTAAAACTATCTCAAAATTCCAAATATGCCCACAGGTTCAAAGGGTTAGAGACCCTTGAATGAAGCTAATTCTGCTATACCACTTGCACAGATCAATCCTATACAGGTGAATAAGGGTGCAGTCTTAAAGACAATAAAAGCTAACTAAGGACGAGTGCTTACTTTTTTCCGCAATAATGTAACACTCGGTTTTTCTGTAGGTGAACTTACAGACTAGGGCGGCAGCTAATCGGCAGCCACGCAACAGCTGAAACAATCCTAAGCAATCACTTACATTGCTTTCTCTTAAGCACCTGTTTATTATTTTCCCCTTACATATGCAGCACACTTTCATATGAACTTAAGGGCCCTTCTTTACTCTTTCAATTCACTGCTTGGGTGGCCATGTTTTAAGGCTACCCCAATGGCCAGCCTTGCACAGCAGCACCACTGCCCCAGCTCAACTGAAAATGCACTCAACTAAAATGCACTGCCACTCCAGATCGCAGGGGGATAGCAGAAGTGAGTTCTCTTTTAAAAGGGCCTGCCCCACTGTGAACTCTTTACAAACTAACAGGGAAGTCCAGGGTTCCTCAGAAAGGAATCTGAAAGGTGAAGACACATAGTCACCAATATTGGTGAGATCAAACTACCTATGAAATCCCAAAGCAGAAAAAATGACTTTTCAAAATGTATTTAAAAGCAGCTGCAAGTGTAAGATGTCAAACTCCCTGCATTTTTAGATTTCATAACAGAATGGCCATCTATTCTTTTTAATATTAATTCTGACATTCTTATTGATTTTACTACATTGGGAAAATATTGAGAAAATACTTGATATACAACTTAGAAATCTCTTAAAGTTAAAAAGAAAAGAAGTCATGACAACAAAGTTCTTGTTCCATTAGCTGTAAATTGACAAAACTTTTTATCACCAAATGCCAATGGAAAGACATAATTACTACTTCATTGCCACAATTCCAATCATTGCTGACTTGGGCAAAAATATGGGAATACACACAATGCCCCCCCCACACACACACACACGCAAAAAGTGTGTGCTCTCCCACCCCAGTAAGCGCACATTAACACAAGCTGTTCTTAAGAACCTGGAGGGTCCACCAACACACTGCTGGGAAAGAGTCTTTCAGAGACAGAGTGGCAAGGAGCCAGAGAAGGGCTTGTTACACAGATTAAAGGCTGCATTCCTTTCTACCAAGTGAAAGAGAATGCCCGCCATGCACTGGCAGTAAGGCGGCTCCAGATTAAGCCTCAAAAGAACCCACTTCTGTGACCAGCCTGCTTCTTTATGCAACAGTTTAGTGGAGCATTTTGCTTTCAATCACTGTATCTGGGACAAGTTTCTTTTCTTTCTTTTTAGTTCAGTGGGGCTAAACCAACTTAAATCCAGTTTAATTGAGCTGTGGATCAGGCAGCCCCTGTCAGCAAAAGACTGTGCAGTGGAGGGAAAAAGAGAGAACCAAAATACAGGGCTCAAGGATTCCCTCTGGCAGACTAGAAGCCTTTGATGAGGCAATGAAACACATTTTTAAAACAAAGGAGCTCTTTTAATATTATCCTAGCTGCATAGGAAGTGGCTTTTCTGTGAACAACTCCTGAACAGCTGAAGTAATGTTTAGATTATCCGACCATAGAATATGGAGGCTTGAGGGTACACGCACCAGTAGAGTAATGTTTAAAGGGCTTCTTAAGTCCCACAAAAGTTAATTTTCCACAAGAACAGCTTTCTACTGCACAGGAGAACCTGCTGGTGGATAAGGCCCCATGTCCAAAAGTGCCCAAGTCATAACCCCAAGCATTTGAAGCTGGCCTTTTTCAATACAGTGTATTTTGACAAATGTTAGGACAGCAACAATATAATTGAAGCTTTAATTGGATAACTTTGTTTTTGTACAACTATAATCTTGTCAGATAATTATTTACATCATATTTTCTTATTCCAATAATATATATTAAAATGATTTTATTCAGATTTTTATAAATTGTTTATTATCACATGTATAAGAAGACCAAGGTGGTTCTCATGGTCCTCTGTTCTACTTTTTATCCTCACAACAACCCTGTGAAGTAGACTAGGCTAAGAGACAGTGATTGGCCCAAAGTCACTCACTGAGTTTCATGGCCGAGTGGGGACTAGAACCTGGACTGCCCAAGTTCCAGTCCACTACACCATATTGGATCCCAGGGACTTGTTCAAGGGACCTTCTTGTCGTAAGTTAAATTATCAGAGTTGCATAAAACAGAACAAATCAGACTGCAAGCATTTTTTTAGAACTTATGGGCAAGGCCTCATGAGAAAATAAATCAATTCCAGTATCAGAAAAGAGGGAACACCCTGGATTAATCTACAAGCAGTAAAGGGCATCCACTGATAAGAACAGCAGGATCAGCTAAAGAAAGCTTAAAACAAAAAGCAAACATTCAGGGGAAACGAGAAGCAAACACTGTCTAGATTTTAAAACTGGCATTCATTTTTGCAGTAGCTATGCTTTAAAGATAAATTTGAACGCAAGATATATTCAGCATGAAGGTCTGTGTCACAATGGGCATGATCCACCAAGCGGGCTTTGAGCACACGCCCCACATCAGCACCTGTGATCGGCACGCAGCCTCCGAGTCAGCCAAGCCTAGCATCATGGAGAAGCTCGGCCTTCTGCCTCCCCAGCACCGCTGTGCCCCCTCTCTTTCCTGGACTCAAGGCCACTGAACCAGACAGTGCTTCATCGGACCTGCAGCGAGGCACGGCCATCCTCAGTTCCAGCCTGGCCCTCACACGCGTGTGCAAGCTAGCCACGAGCGCAGCACTAGCAACTGGATGTTGGGCAATAATCACAGGAGGTGGGTGGAACTGGCTGAGACTGTTTTTATTATTCTGCGTATGCTCTGCCATTCTCCCATCAAAACGCAAGGCAGCGCACAAAGGAGTCACCAGTCCGTGTCCTAAGCAAACCCAGACTTCCTTAGCTTAAATGTGTGCTTTCAAAGCACACCTGTACATGATTTTATTTCTCAACTTTTTACACTTGGTTGGCCTGTTTTTGGCCTTTCCCTAAGGAGTGCTTAGTTTGTTATTGCAGGTGCTCTGTGAAGACAGAACACAGAAAAATACAAATGCTGGCACTACTTTTGGTCTGGAAACATCATGAATATTGTTTCGCGTTTTATTTTGACAATTCCACACGCTTGCCATTGAAAGGTCTAACAGGTCCCCTGAATGCAAAAACTAGACTTCCAACATGCTGTTTATTTTATGTCGTTTATATTCCTCTTGCTTTCCATCATGGAACTCAAGTGAACATATAAAAGTTCTCAGGTGGTCTTGCATCAAGGTACTAACCAAATTCACAAGTGCACTTCAGCAAAGCAGCTACAACATGTGTGGTAGGGTGAACTGATTTGGGCTACAATTCCCATCATCCTTGACCAATAGCCATGCTGAATGGAGTAGATGCTAACTGAAACCAAACCCTCTGCAGGGTTTACTGGACCTATCCCAGTACGCCCTGGGATTACTGAACAGAACTTCTCCCTGTCAACCTACTAGAGACCTGGTGGTGCTTACAGACAACCAGAGAGAACTTAGAATCCAAGATACCTGATTCAAGTGCCAGCTCTTGAATTTGGTCATGACAAATTTATGCTCAGCCACAGGGCTCAAATAGGTATGACAGTGAGAGATCTATGACTGGCTTTCTCATTTCTAAGATGTTTGATGCCAGCTACTGGAGGGGCTGACATCCAACTCCAAAAAAGTGCAATATTTTCCTGAGGATAATATCCTCTCCCTTGAACTACAATTTGCCCTAGGATACTTTTATACCCATTATCTTTCTTCTAACAGAGCTTACCATATAATAAAGCTTCAGAAACTAGCAATATAGCTGCCTACCAAAATTGCCTGCTTTTTTCTGAAGCATCTTCCCAAATCAGTAGCCGATAAACCATAGCACTGTGACAGCTTAGCAGAACAGTCCTATTTTTTGTGTTTTAAATAAATTGCAATGCATTACCATTTTGTAGAGTCTGTGCCCGCGATTCCTTTCCCAAGTTGACATGAAATCCTCCAACCGTTTGTGTTTTTCCTGCTGCTACAAGGAAGAAAGAAAAAAAAGAAAAAGCTTGTCAAATACAACAGATAAATAAAAGCATGGCAATAAATCTTGCAATGGCTCCCTTGTAGAAAGTGTTTCAGCCTAACAAACTTCAGTAGTCCTAGACACCGAGACTCCTCTTACACTGATTAACACTCCATTAACACTCACCATGGAGATCAACCTTTCTCCTTCCACAGTTCTACCTGTCTTTAGCACAGGCACTGAGAAACCGAGCTGCAATGTCTTATATACAAATGAGCAAGTAGGTGAGCAGACATGAAGTGTGTGTTTATATATCGCACACTGCGGGTGTGTGTGCATGCATGGGTGCACATATATCAGCAATTATTTTCACAGACGTATATTAGCATTTCCAAAAGGTAGCTATTGGAGGAGGTGATTCTCATCGGGCAGGCTCACACAACTCACTGAGCACCGTGAGAAGAAATTACACTATGTCGGCTGACTGTGGCGGAAGCCATAGTATGCCTGACTATCAGGCTTGTTGTGGTTTCTTCTGCCCCTCCTTCCCATCAGTCCTCCAGCCAGCTCGGGCATGCATCTCAAGTGCCTTAGTGACAGAACTGACATCCCATAATCCCTTGCTCCCCCTTTACACCAGCAGCCTGTTTATTATTGATCCACTGTGTGTTTGAGGAGTGTTCTGCCTCCACTCCCTCCCATGTCTGCCAATACCTACCTGTACTGCTAACAAAAAACTGTTTTCACACCCCCGGGTTTTATTTGCATGTTGCAATTTTTGTGTGCCTATGCGGTCTGTTTCACTTCAGCCTTTGTTTTCCCCACCCGCTTCTTTGAAGCAGATCTTGCTAAGTAAAACACTCCACTCCACTCCCCAACTTCACAGGTGATTTGTGTTAGAGTCAGTGTTCCTCCACATTAGCAAAGCTCCCCTTCCTCCGACTCCTGTCTCCCACTGTCCCTCCAGACAGGGAGATGTCACTGAGCTCACACCACCAAGACTCCCCATCCCACACGCTCCCTCCCCAGGGCCTGAGATCTAAAGTAGTTGGGGTTTTTTTTTAAACTGATGCTTCTCTTGCCTTCTCCTGCTAGGGCACCCCTACAATTGTACCAGCTTGATTTTCCCTCAGAAAGACCTCACGGGGTTATAATTTTGAAGATGATCTTTTCTGAGAAACAACCATTTTGGGAAGCTTCTGTTGCCCACGTAGAAGCAACTAAGAACTTTTCCCTTGGAATTTACTGTCAGGCATTGTTTGTATATGGGATGTTGATGGGGTGGGTTCCTGGTTCTAAATGGGAAATGCAAAAAACCTGGCTACTGGCTTGTAGGGCAGGGTACAATTGTAGAATAACTGGTTCTTGGGCATGCATATAGTAGGCATGTCATGAGTGGAACTGGCTGGAGCTGGGGGTCAGACTGGATGGCCCAGGAGATCCCTTCTGACTCACTCCATTTCTATGTTTCTATTACAGTTGGATGGGGTCCTACAATGGAAATGCAATGCTTCCAGAGATGCTAATATTTTGTAATATTTTGTATTGTTACTTCCAATACTTCGGTAATGGAACAGTCTATGAATGAATGAATGAATGAATGAATGAATGAATGAATGAATGAATGAATGGAAAGCGATATTTCCCTAGGGTAAGGGTAGTCTTTATTATACTAGCAAGAATAAAACAGACTGAAAGGAAAGGCACTTCCGCATTTATACATCCTTCTTAATAGCAGTACACAAATGGCTAATTGGTCCAGATCCACTCACTACTTCTAGTTTCTTCCCGAGTTGCTGATTTAGATGCTGAGTTCAGCAGAAGCACTGGAGCCTCTCTTGATCATTCACTGAGGCCAACACCATTGTTTTCAGCCCTCAGGCTGGTAGCTCAGGGCTCTCCTAAGGAAGCAGTTCTAAGGAGAGGCCAGCCCAGCTGTGGTAGCAGCTAATATTTTTCTGCTTAGCAGGTCTCACAGAGCCTGGTAGGGTGTCATAAGCCATAGCTGAAGTGCAGAGGCCTGGTCTCCAAGAATAAGGGGTACATGGGGAGGCCAGAGGGCTGGTGAAGAGTTTGTCCATGGCAACTTGTCTACCAAGGATGAGTTTCAGAAGACAGCATTACATTGAAATCTCCATGTAAACACCCATACATCTCCCTTTGGAATCAACAAGTACTTGAAGGACCAGGCTGTAAAAGCATTTACAGATAGAAAAAAATCTTGCTCCATGCAAAGAATCCAGCGCCCCCACTGCACAAGGGAACCTAATTCACCGAATCCCTGCATATTATTTTCTCCTGCCCCCCATCTTTATGAGGTAAAGCTCATTCAGAACACACACCATCTCCCTGACAGGTAGCACTGTCAGGAAGGTACAAACGCTGTAAGCAAGCCTGTACGCAGTCAGACCTAAACCTGATTTCGGATGCCATCCTGGCATCCATGTTGATGTGCACATGGCTTCAGTGCATGGGAGTATCCCCCAACAGATAACACTTCTGTCTGCAGTGCGCTCCTCCGCCATGGCAGCAGCAACCCTGTGTCCTTTTCGGGAGCAGAAAGAAGTGTTTCTTTTACCATAAATCAAAACAGGGCAGGGGTGCAAGCAGCCACATCTCTCACTGATCCAGCTGATGAGACAGAAACAACTTAACAAGCAGAGGGAGCAGAGACAGAAGGTGCAGGGAAAGGTGTGAGAAATCAGCCCCATGGATTGCATTGCTTATTTTGGTCTCCTAAGGGCATCAGCCCTGGCAGGTGCCCCTAAGCTCTAAATCAGTGACTGCAGTTCATCTGGTACGTCAGGCATCCATGGTTCCAGACAGGAAAGTAAGCCTGCACACCACTGGACTGCCTAGCACACCAGCATGTTTCATTTTGTTGTCTGGCACTGTCCTTGCAAGCACACCTGGCAAAGCAACTGTTAATTTTTATTAAGACAAAACTGTAACGGAAGAAGTGAAATGTAATGCACTAGGGGGCTTAGCAGGGCAAGAGTAAGGGCGCGACTGAGCACTGGTATCCCTTTCACCTGATCATCTGTCAGAGAACATGGCTGCTGAGGCATCACTGAGGTGCTGGGCCTGTTTCTTCCACCTCTTCCAGGGGTGTGGGTGGTAGCTGGGCAGACTACATGCTACAGTGCAGGGAGACCAACAGACCCACTATAGGGCCCACTGGAAAGACAGATGGGCAAGAGATACATATACATGGAGGGTGTAAGATTAAGGGAGAGGAGGAGGGTTAAGGAGAGGAGGGAGCTGCCACAGAGGCACACAGGGATACGGCATGCGTGGCAGTTGCCCTTGCTGGCCTTATACATCTGCTTGCAAGGCAGCCACCAAGCCATGGAGCACATCTCTCCACCAGCCCATGGCTGCCATGGGCTCCCTCACAGAACAATCAAAGATGAGGGTTCTGGCCTTCTGAATGCGTGACTATTGTTAACTATTGTCCAACTTCGCCAGACAACCAGCAGCTGCTCACAGTTCTCCGTTCTATGCTCCTGCTTATTCAATTATTTGGCACGTTTCCATCTGAGCTCCCCTGCCACTTCAGTGGTGCTAAGTCTCTTGTGAGTGGCACTCGGTCAGTTTTGTGCTTGTTACAGAGACACACCACATGCTGAGCAGTGGATAATGCTGACTCCTCCTTCACTGGCCTTCCCCCAGTCCTCTGGGCTTTTCAGTCCCGGCTGTTGTGCTGGCTTATCATGCAGCACTTCTTGAGGTGAAGCCTGGTCTTCAACCTCTTCTCCCCACAGTCTCCTCCCTGAGCAAGCCAGAGAAGGAGAAGCTGCTTGACTTTCTGAAGATGCTTTCCAAGTTGAGTGCTGCAGGAAGTGACAGTTCAGTCTCCAAGATGTGTGGCGTTGGGGAGGAGAAGTCACAGCTTGGAGATTGGCAGGTCTTCATGGGCCAGGACCTGGCACACTGGGGGCAGCTCAGGTGTCCCCTCAAGCTCACTTCCCAGATCTTCCAGTGGTTCTCCAGTCCCAGGTCATGAGTACTTCACCAATACTGCACTGCTGTTGCTCCTCCTCCTCCTCTGCAGACAGGTTCCTGGGTGCTACAGGGAGAAGAGCAATGATGTCTTGAAGGCAGAGCTCCATATTGCCAGCCCACCTAGCTAAACACTGAGCTACCATGTAAAGGCCCTTTTGCTGAGGAAGGAAGGCATAGGCTTGCAGCCAGATGGGTGACCACATGTGGAAGCAGAGCAGGGGGTTGAGCTCAATGGTCAAAAAGGCCCCTTCCAACTCTACTTCTATTCTAGTCATACTTTCCATGTGAAGAACTGATTGCATGAGCCTTTGAAAAGTAGTCCAGACTACTTCCTTAATTATTATGACCAAGTTCTTACTTTTCTGTAGAACTTCACTAGGTTCATGACACATGGTTGCCAGCCTGATTTCCGTTCTCCATGAGTGTACTATTGGCTAACTAGACCATTGGAAGTGAGGGGGCTGGTTGCTGGAAAAGCAGGGATAGGTGATCTGGACATACCACCAGCTCAACTCTGAAAACTTTGGTGGGCAGCCCAGGATCTGGGGGTTTCAAAATACCTGCAGACTGGGCTCCATGCAGCTTGGGCGTACTGGAAGCACTTGCCTATATAGGATAGGATAGTATTTTTTGAGAGCCACAAACGCATATGCCTGCAGTCCTGAAAAAGTTGCCTGCAGAGCATTAGATGTCTTACAAGATATACTTTACTTTTATGAATATAGTCAAATACACCTTCCCTTTAAGGAACTCCGGTTGGCATATATGAGGTTATCCTAGCTGGTCCCAAGTGGGAATGTGAACTGTATGTCTCCCAAGTTCAAATCCAGCATGCTAATCAAACGCTCATCTGGATCTTGTTCTAAGGATTAGAGATAATGTGAAATGGTTTGCAGTGCTTTATTTCAGAAGCTAAGTGTTACATGAAAGAGCAATTACTTTATCCCATCTGCCAGGGCAGAGGCAATTACAGCAGCAATAAGGGTACATCCAGTCAGCTGGAGGTA